TTTTAAATATTCTCCGTATGTTTATTATCATACATTATTTATTAATTATTATATTTATTTCTTTTAGGTGCAGTAAAAAACATTTTATTAATCAAATGTCTAGTACCAATATATAGAATATCAAATGAATCATTGAAGCTTATGATAACATGGTTTTTATCATCATTGAACGACTTACAAATCACAGTTGCAATGATAACCATACAATGGATCATTGGTAAGCTAAAATATAAATTAATATTTATCGAATTAAAAGTTTACGATATAATCTGTATGCTTTTTCAGGTGTATGGGAATATTGTCTTGCGGATAAGAAAATCATTAGTATGTTCTATGAAGTATTTTTCTATTGGTTGACGAAAAAAGAAAAATTGGTATATAGTTTTTATTATTTAATAATAATCATTTTTATATTTGATCAAGTTTTCGCTTATAAATCTTACATTATGCTAATAAGATGTTTTTTTTTTATTACAGGAAAAGCATTTAGCACAAGTTATATACACGATAACAAAACCAGAAGATGTAACGCGTAGAAATATTTGTAGAATATTATCTATACATAAGAGACGGGTTGCTCCAAATAAATATACTAATGCTCTACTTTCGTATGTATTTAGAATCGTCATTTATAATAAGAGAATGAACAATCTAACAAAAATAAATGTGTTATCTATTTTTTTGTTACAGCTTGTTTAAAACTTATAAGCCTGAATTAGTGCCGGAAAAAATTGAAACGATGAATATAGAAAGTGTTTGGAGACCAATACCAGAAGTATTACGAGTAGCATTAAAAGATGCTAAAAGTCGTTTAGAAAGACAACAAAGCATCGATCAAATTCAAGAACATTATAAATGGAATATTTCCAAAGTATATCATTTGTTTTTTAATCCTATAATATAACTTTGATTATGTTTTTACACATATATGCTTTTTTAAGGTTTCTAAGAAAAAGTATAAATTACTTTTACCGTCTGTTGGATATTGTTGTATTGGTTCAAGTATCTTTAAAGATAAAGATGTTAAATCTATTTTTGATGTATATACGTAAGTTACATTTGTATAATGTATTAATAGTATTAATATTACAGCATTGAATAAGTGGACTAACAATAATTAATTAATGTTAATTATGTTACAGCACTGAAGATTTGGGACGACATCTTTCCAGTATTGAACTACCTTGTAACGCAATATCTTTGTTAGTTAATACAGCTGGTTATCATCTTCTTACATATGCTGATTTTAACTTTCAAATTAGATTTTCTTACAACCTTTATAATACACTTAGAAGAGGTATGAAATATGTATGTACATAAGTATTATATATTGGATTGAATTTATTAAAAATGTAATATTGTTACAGCATTTATATTAGAAAGAGGTAACTTTTCTGAAACAGAAATGGAAACATTACTTGATATGACTGTTCAATTTTGTAAATATATGCAACAAGGTATATTTGTTGTTAATCTTTTTATCGAAGAATATTTGTATTTAAATAGTAGAGAACATTTTAGTAAAATATTAGAAATATTACAATGGATGACAATCATATCTTTAACTGGTAATGTACGATTTGTATAAAATCATATTTCAATACTATTCTTTCTTCTGTTAAAAAATATCAGAAAGATTAATTAATTAATATCTCATTTTTATTACAGAAGAAAACCAAGCAATATTACCACATATAAAAAGTATGTTTTATGAATCATCAGTTACCGACAAATGCAAAATTATTGAAACCTTAAGGATTCTTATCACAAATATAGTACGTACAAATTTAACAAATATTATTCACAAATAATTATTAAAAATATAATAAATACAATACATATTTTTTTTAGTTTGTTAATGAAGGATTCGAGGAATGTAGTCAAAAAGTACCAGCACCATTTTTAAGACAAAAACCAATGAGTACAATAACCGATACCATTCCTATTCTTATCAATTTTTCGAAAAATCTTATAGTATCTGGTTTAAACACACACTCATACAATATTTTACTTCTATCCGAAAGTCTTACATTTTATGAAGTGGTACGTAAAGCATTAAATACATTTTGATTTATTTTTTATATTATTTTCAAATTATCGTAATTACATTTAATTATTTTTTAATCAGATTTTTGAATTAGAATCTCGTAGTAACGTATCATTATGGGCTATAACTCCTGCTGCTCTAACTTATGGAGCATTTATATCTAGCAATTGTACAATCGTCAGTAGAATTTGTTCGTTGATATTAAGGTAATTATTATATTAATAAAATAGAAATCTTAGTTAATTATAGACATTATATTACTTTAATTATTACTTTTATAGATATTTGAAGAGGTGTGAAGTATTAGAAAAACAAAAAGTACAATCATTTGCTAAAAATATTGAGACGATATCTACTTATGTTACAGATATAGCAGGAGCTTTGTGGTATAATAAGGTAAGTAATATTTAGAAAATAAATTATATTGTATGTACGTAGGTTGGAACTTAAATAGTGGCAACTATTTATTCACAACCGATACAAAAGAGTTACATGTTTGCACCTGTTACTATCCTTCAAAGTAGTTACCAGCGTTGTGTAAAACCCGTTGCCAGCGATACGGAAGGCGTAGTATACCGTCAGCAGAGTCCGTTCTGTTGATGGTGTGAATGGAGCGGTCTACTGCCATTTCTCATCCAGTGTTACGATACGGCGTAAGAAAGCCTTTCCTTCGCGCTCATAGCGCTCCAAGTGCGTCTGAGCAACGTCGTAACGGATCCATTTCTGCATTTCCGTCAATTCATGCGGAACCCATCGTGGCATTCGCTTCAGAACTATTCCAGAGATTTGACAGGCAGTAGACCGTTCCATTCGCACCATCAACAAAACTAGCTTTGCTAACGGTATACTACGCCTTCCAAATCGCTGGCAACGGGTTCTACACAACGCTGGTGACTATTTTACAGTAACAGGTGCAAACATGTAACTCTTTTGTATCGGTTGTGAATAAATAGGTGCCACTATTTAAGTTCACCTACGCGTATATCATTTAATATTATACATACATAATTCAATAAATATTATTCTTATAGGCTTTTAACAGTGAAGATAATTATATTTGTAATAAACCTACTGTAGATTATTTTGGAAAATTCAAATTCCATACACAATTAAATATTATTAATCATTATGCCGTTCTTCCTTATAAATATATCATCTCCAAAGAGATTCTTAATAATTTGGACATAGAAACTAAAGAGGTAAAAATTAATCTTACATTAGATTTTTTATTTTTTCATTTTGTTGTATTTGTTCATTACGATATTAAATATGTTTTTTAGGATGCTATTAATCTTGCAAGAGAGTACTATCCAGCGATAAGTACATTTTTAACAAAGGTAATAGCAGAATTACAAGAATAACTATTAAATAATTTAATATAGTTAATAAAAAATATATTTTGTATATTTATAGAAAAAATTTAAAAAAAAATTTTATTTTCATTCGTTTAAAACTAATTTATGTTAAATTATTTTGTCTGCTATAACGTATTGCAATGTACAATCTGTAAATTACATTAGTCAGAGACAAACATTGTCAAGCCAACTTTATATTTATTGTTTTCATTATTTTATATAAAGAATTATATTAAAAGAGTTGTACATAAAACTTTAATAAAATTAAATAGTAAAATTGCATAGCAGTGAAGCCAGATCGCGGAACATTTTTACCCCTTCTCTCGAGTCCAGCATGCCTCGCACACAACGAAATGTTACATGTCGGTGTGTCGGGAAACCGAAAGAAGTCGAGGGAAGCCGAGGTTAGCTGCGCGACAGAGGAGAAATAGTACCCCCACCACGAGCCGCGGAGAAATACATGGACATAATACACATTGTTTTAACATGTTCAAATGTTTTTGTGTCATGTATTTCTCCGCGGCGCGTGGTGGGGGTATTATTTCTCCTTTGTCGCGCAACTACTTCGGCTTTTTTCGGTTTTCGACACACCGCACGTAAATTTTGTTGTGTGTGAGACGTGCTGGGCTCGAGAGAAGGGGTAGAAATGTTCCGCGATCTGGCTTCACTGTTGCATACACGGAGGATAGATACTAGGAGTCTGAACGTAATGTTGAAAGAATGGTATCAGTTTAGAGGACAAGATATTTTGCCGGTAGAGCGCACTGCTTTTCACAGAGTACTCGTTTAAATACTTACGCGGGAAGTATTGTTGCTATTGACAGCTCTGAAAAAAAATATTTTAAGAAACATGGAATTAATATTATTTAAAAACTACACAAATGTAATAATCAATTATTTGTTAACATACAATTTTTAATATTATTTTGAGTTTACTCACTTTTGATACTTTGAATAAAGCCATTTTTCCTAAATTCTCACTTGCCTTTCGGCCACTAAGGCACAACACTTTCCCATTTTTTAATAAAAATAATTCTAAAAAAATAAATTAATATTTTATATTTAATTTACGTGTAATAATAATAATAGTAGTATCGGTACGCTCTGAATACTTACGCAGCCAGTGGCAAAAAAGAGAACTATGATCTGGGTCAAGAAATGACTACCACAAAAAATGTGAAAAATCCTATATCGTTCGGACTCCTGGTATTTATCCTCCGTGGTTGCATAGCAGGAATCTGTTCTTCTGTTGTACTTTTAATTCAGATTTTGTCCATACTTGTCGCTGAAGTCACACCATGCTTCAAATGAAAAATGGTTGTTATGAAAACATAACCTCTTTTAACAGAGTTTAAATATATTTTTATTTATACTTTATAAAATATAAAGAATTGAAAATGCCGACAGATCACAAAAGAATTAATGGTCCAGAAGTATCTGTATCATATAATATTTATCCTAATTCTAATACGGAAGAAAAATATACAAAAAGTAATATTTCTATAAGGAATGATGGTCGTGCGCATAACAAACGGAGGGAAATATGTGAGTTTAAATATAAAACAGAATATTATCTCTTGTATACAATAAAAATCAATTAATTTAACAAGTATGGTCTACTCTAATTAATATTAAAAACGTATTATTTTTGACAGTTTTAAAAACAGGAATAGTTAGTCAAGCAAAAGGTTCTGCATATATTGAAATGGGTGATACTAAAGTTGTATGCTCTGTCTTTGATCCCAGAGAAATTCATAATAGGAATGAATACAGTTCGCACGGTGAATTGTATTGTGAATTTAAGTTTGCACCATTCTCTTGTAATAAAAGAAAAATACATCAACAAGATCCAGAGGAGAAAGAATATAGTCAGATTCTTAAAAGGGCTTTAGAACCAGCAGTTTGTTTGGTAAATCATATGTTTATTTATTCTTAGAAAAATGATTCTTTCTTTTTTTTTTTATTTTGTATGATATGCCCTACGTTTAATAATTTATCTTTATATTTTTTCAGCACGAATTTCCTAACTTTCAAGTAGACGTTTATACAACAGTTATAGATAACAATGGTTCATCCTTGGCAGCTGCTATAACAGTGGCTAGTGTAGCACTAGCTAACGCAGGAGTTCCTATGTTTGGTTTGGTTACCGCAACTTCTGTGGTAAATTTATTTACATTTAATTTTAATATTACTTTGCATCTTGAAATCGTACTTATCAATATAATCTTAATAATTATATATAACTCTACATTTGCATCTCAGTCTTTAAAAGATATTTAATACAAACGCATAAAATTTTATTTAATGGTAAAATATTAAATAATATTATTTCGATAGGCTATTTATGACAATATACTGCTTCTTGATCCAACGGATAGCGAAGAGATATATTGTAGTAAAAATTCCTCAATTTCTGGAAATCATGGCATTATAATGCAAGCGTTTCTTCCTCAACTTGAACAAATATCAGAATTTTTCTCAGTTGGAAATTTAAATATGGAAAATCTTACTAATGCTATAGAAGTTACAAAACAAGCTAATAAAGATATATATCCGTTGTTACAACAATGCCTCGCCAGATCAATTTTCAAAGTAGTCAAAGAAACGAAGTCTAAGAAAAAAGAAGCAAAAGAAACAAAACAATTAGATTAAAAAAAAATCAAATAATTAAATCTACATTAAACGTAGCCTTTAATTTTTGAATTACATATTATTTTGTAATAATAATAAAGATAAATATAAAATAAAATATAATAATACAGCGATTATCCCCACTGAATCAATTTATTTTATCTTTACATTTATATAGTATATAATTACTAATAATTTCCCATTATGTGTCTGTTTTTATTCTATTTATATAACACCCAGACGGCTTATCTTTGACGTTATTAGTTTAGTTTTTTGTTGTTTTTGTTATAGGTATCCCATTTATTTTCTATCTTTACTATAAATAGTGCACTAAAAAAAGTGTAATTTAAAATATAAAATATATATATAAACACACATTATATCTAATCATATTTTGCATCTCTCTCTAACAAGAGTACATTTTAGAGGCCGTCATAAGAAATTCAGGCCATAAAAGTGCATTTATATATATTTTAAGAATTTAGTTAACAGATCTTAGTTTTCTTTGAGTATAATCGTGCTACTACACATTATCATTCTTTATAATATATATATGTATATACCGTTTAAACCTGAATGTTACAATGTAAATAAATTGTGTAAAATAATTAATCACATTATAGAACAAGCTGCCATAAAAATAGAGTATTTTTGTTAAAAAGACATTATGACTTTCTGTTATATATATATGTATATAATTATACTTTATAGTATTGTTAATATTTGACGTAGTTCTTTATACAATATTAATTTGCTTCATTTTCACAGTGCTCTTTCTAATAAAACATCTTTGCTAAAAGTCATTTATTTTCAATATAGAAAAAAATTAAAAATTTGATGTTGTTTTATGCCTAATTTAAATTCCCAGAAATTATTAGTGAATATTAAATAATTTAGAATTATATTAAATCATAGTATTATAACAAAGCGATAATAATGCGTAGACGAGGGTATCTAATTTTGTAATAAATTATAAAAACATACAAAAGAATTAACAAAATTACAATGAAATACATAAATTAATAATACACGAACATATATATAAAGCAAGATTAGCTATGTTATATGTAAATCTAAAGAAAAACGTGTGACGTGAATATTTTAAATTGGAAAAAATCACACAAAATAAACAAAGTTTCATTAATATCAATTGAGTAATTTTGGAGTTAATCGTAAATTAACAATGTGAAGTTAAATTTTGATATATATATAAATAGAAATATTTAAATGTATAAATTTTCCTTTAGTGTTACCGATAATGCTATAATTATAAAAGAAGCTCTTGAAACACTAACGTATTATCTACCTTTATTGCTGCCATACTTTTGTCATTAATTAATCTGTACTATGACTAGCAATTATGTACTGTTCTCCATAAGTACTTCAAACAAATATAAGTATATATTTAAAAAAGTAATAGGCATGCTACTTAAATACATTTACATCGTGTATCACTAGGATTACACAAAGATCATTTGTTATCACCAATTGTTATATGATTAGGAAATACTATCCTGAAAAAGTAAATGTAATTAAATAAATGTTAGTATTTTAAATTTATACAGGGTGTCCTATAATTGGTGATACATGTACACAGAGAATGAATGATTCTACATAAAAAATTATTAGGGTTTTATTTTGAAAAAAAAATGAGTATGCGTGTACTCCCTTTAAATTTCTTATATCACCAGTTACATGGCACCCTGTATATTATTACAAATTATAATTGTAATAATTTTTTAATACTATTTTTATATTATTATAAAATTTGAAATACTTACATTGTTATAACAAAAGAGTCGTTTAAATGAACTTCCTTAAATTTCATATATCCAATTACTCTAAATGAGTATGACCATTTTCTAATTTATTTGACACTTTTTTCTTATTATCTTCATATTTTCTCCTTGGCAATGCAACTTCAAGAGATGATTTAACTTTAGTTAAGGGAAATTTAGTCAACAGGTAATTGTACAAATAGCATAATAATTTAGATGAAAGAGGGCACAATAATCCTTGATGCACAAATGCAGCCATTCTATAATTTTGTCCTTCAAATGGATCTAAGACTGCTGAACATAACATATGACTGAGATTCACTTGTGTGGGCTGTATAAAACATTTAAAAATATATTATAAAAATAACGATAATAATTATATAAAGTATAAATATAATAAAAATAGAAAATAGAGTATATATCATACCAAAGCAAAAAGTTGCAACAACCAAAAGTGGTACGCCAAATTAAAACCATAACTTAAAATTGACCAGTTCAAATCCGACAAAGGTTCAATGTTGTATACTCCTGTAAAAAAAGAAAGAAAAAGAAAACGTTATATATAAACAAATCTATAAAAAAGTAAATAATATGATAATATATGATAAAAAGAATTTTGTTAACTGTTACCTCCAATTCTTAATAAGTAATATGGTATTACTAACATTAAACCATGTTGAATATAATATAATGCTTTATCTGGAAATATCTAAAAGATTAATTCACATTTATATATATATATATATTTTGATTTTTCTTTTTCATTTAAAATTATTAATAATTATTATTATTATTTACTCTTCGAGATTCTGTTTCCGGGAATAAAAATGCCAGTATGGGACCATTCATAAGATTAAGATGTATTCGAAAAACACTAGTTACCATAGGACTTGGTTCGGCTGCTAATAAATACAACTGTGTAAACAAAAAAATATACAAGATAGATAAATAAAAAAAAAATGTTTAAAGTAAAATGAAACAATATAAAATAATAAAATGAAAATATTTACCTGTATAGCAGAGGTAATGTGACAAGGATTTAACAAATAAATGATGGTACGACTTGTAAATTTGAAACCAATTTCTACACCCAGAACCATAGACATGATAATTAATAAAACTCTTTTACCAAGTCTTTCTTGATTAACATATGGTAATTTTTTTGGTAATGTTATTTTCTTAAAACCCCATACCCAAAATGATAGAATGAATATAGATACAAAAGCTGTTTCAATTAATTTTCTGTTTGTACTTAAGTAATATGCACATTCTGGACCAGCATTTCTTGGTATTGAACTGTTAACACCATCATAAGCCCACTCAAACATTATTAATAATAATTGATTTCTCTCTCTTCTTGTAAATTTATAAGATTAAACGATTATTTATTTTTTAGTCATACAGTTATGACTATCACAGTATTAAGTATATATATATATATATGTATGTATGTGTTTGTATTTTATCTATGTGTGTGTATGTATAATGTATATATATGGCTTTATGTTGACACACACTACAAAGTCTTAATAAAATTATTTTAAAACATTGCACACAGGTACGTTCTGCGATACAACATTATACAACTACTTAAAATTGAGCCCATATTTGTACTATATTTTATATCAGAAGCCGAATATTTCAACTTGTTACGTACATTAGTCGGTATACCACTAAATCTATCTCATTAACTTGTGATATAAGAGTATCTACCGAATGCAAAAAAATCTGTATAGAGAGCTCTATAAATAGCACCTCTACCATCAACGGGTAGCTAACAATCAAAGAAGCTTAACTTCTACAGAAGATAAAACATTCCATACCACAGATGATAGTCTTAATTTCATGATGTCGCTAGTAGTAATAGTTGCTTACTTTAAAGCACCAATAACTAATAGTTTGACATCATTTTTATTAATAATATTATTTTAAAATCTTAAATGAATAATTTCATATAATTCAGTTATTTTCTTAAACAAATTTTTCTCTTTACATTAAATTTTAATTAATATATATACATTATTTGCAATTATTGATATAAAATAGTATTTATAATAATCATAGATAAAAATTGTAATAATAATTGTACATAGATTAGTTAATTACTGTGAGTTTTTTTTTAAATAACTTTACAGTACTAATTAATTCATTTGAAATTTCGCGCGGCTCATGACGTAATTGACGTATACATTCTTGGCGATCGCTCATTGGTTGACTCCATATTACATCATATATATACATATATATATATGTTTTTGAAATCGTTGACAAGGTTACGCATGAATTGATTATAGTATAAGAGATACTCTTGAGTACGTAGCAATTTAATGCAAAATATTTAAATAATTTTAAATAAAAATGTCAATGCACGCAACACCGATACTCTATTTAAACATGGGTGGAGAAATGCTGTATGTTTTACAACAAAGACTGAAAGCTCAAAAAATCGACGTCGACAAAACAGTGCAAGGCCAGTCCAGTAACAGAAATATTCGAAAAAGATCGTACGCACTGTTCCTATCATCCTTTATATGAAATTCAATATTCATAACAAATTCACTTAAGCACTTGCTTTTTTGCATTATTTTATGTTATTGATTTAATTGATTGATTTCTTGAACTCTTTTCTTTTTTCTATGATTACAGTGTTAAACGATGTAACTGCTGCTTTGCTCAATGTCACAGTACTTTCATCGGTCTTCAAAAAAGGCCCTGTTATTGCAGTCGCTTCATTGCGTCCTACTTTAGAATGCGCTGCTTTATCTTCTATCATGAAATTGGATAATAGTAGCATGGATAAATTGTTCGACTTAATGACGATGATGGTCAAATATCAATTGACTGTAGTTACTGGTCCTAAAGAAGTTATTCTTCTTACATTAAATCATATTGATGCAATGCATGATATGGTTAGCAATCCAACTGGAAAAGAATGCGTCGCATTGGTCCATCAAATGGTTATTGATGTAGGCAAACCTTTTTTCTAATTTATCTATATATAATGAAACACATTAAAATTTAATATTTAATTGAAATTTTGTAAATATTTATATTATAGTTTTATAGTGAATTAACTTTCGACGAAGTATGGAGAACGAGATATGATTGTCTTCAAGAATTAGAACCATATCGTGTTAGGGTTTCTATTCTTTTAAGACTTGGTTTACAAAACGAAGATACTAGTTTTAATATAACTTCAAAAAAGTACGATGAAAAGTATAAAGAAAATAGACATATATTATGCAATCAAAAAATAAAAGATGTAGACCCCAATAAGAATTGCGGAAGTTCCTTCCAACTATTTGGCGACCGTGAAACATTATTGGGAAGAAATATGTAAGTGTATTAAAATTTTTTTCGTTTTATTTAAAACCACAAATTCGAAATAACATTTATTAATTGTAGATACTCTTCTACATATGGAATGACAGAAAAATTAAAACCATTGCAACACAATTCAAACTTCCTAAAAGATTGTGGCACCAAAGCAGAGCTTAGAATGTTGGCCACTCAATTAGGAACAGAAGAAACTTATGAAAGGCCTTTTACTTTGAATTTATTTTCTAATGAAGAAAATATAACTTCAAATAATAAAAATAAGTGCAATATTGATAAAAGTAACTCTGAAAAAGAAGAACAAGAAGTTGAGAAAACAAAGATCAACGAAGACTATAAAAATAAGCTTGATAATGTTTATGCAGATTTTCATGAAAATGAATTGGAAAAAACAGCACGCAGTATGGATCTACTTGATCTGCTGGATGAGATCGAATAACTGGCTAATTTATCAAAATATTATTCAACTAATTAATTCCTACATATTTCTTTTCAGTGCACTTAACAGATAAATATATATATACAATTTAATTAGCATCTCATTTTAATAATATAATATTTTCAACTTCAAAAAGCCCATCATACAATATCGTATGATACTAAATATATTAAATGCACAAATAATGCTTTTTTATAAATCATCATAACTAAGTTTAACTCTTAATCATATCCAAAATGTATTTAACTCCAGTTTTGCCACTGATATTAAGTGCATTAGTAATAGCTTCTTGATATTGAGAGAAAGGCACAAGTTTGTGCGGTGGTGCTTGTAATTTTTTATCTTTAAAGAAAGCTGATAATTCATCATACATATCTAATCGTTTTTTTGATTCCATATTTTCCTTGGTCCATGCCGTCATCCAAAATCCTTGAAGAGTTATATTCTATAATCATATATAAAAGAATTAATAAGCTTGGTAATCAAAATATAATTTCATTTAAATAATTTAAATATGTTACACATCAAGTATTACTTTAAAAATAAAAGCTGAAGGTGGAATGGTCACTGGTTCTCTCGACATACCACCATACGTAACCATTGTACCTCCATGGGCAAGGTGTCTCATAATATCTGTAGCACTTTGACCCGAAATACAGTTAAGTGCTAATTTAGGCTGAGGTAATTTTTTATTCTTAAAAATTTGAGTCATTCTAACTTCTTTTTCAGTTAATACTTCATCCGCTCCCATAGATGTTAACAGATCCTAAATAAGTAATGATATTAATAATCAAGTATCTTAACACTTTGTTGATCGGTCCCGAGTTAACTCGTGTTTCTGTGGCCGAACGTTGCTGACCGGTCACGAGTTAACTCGTGATGCACTTTTTTCGCATCATGCTATTTTAAAGGAAAACGCAGCGAAAATAAATATTACAATAATAACAGATTTTTTTGTACTATTGTTATAYTKTWTATYATWCGAAGAAGAAATATTYAAAGTCTAATAATAAGTAAAATTTATTAAAAATTACTTATATTGTTTTACTTTTCAATTCAATTACGAAGTAATAGCCGGCGACATGGGATAAATTCTTAAAAAAATAGCCGGTCAACAAAGTGTTAATAGATAATAAATATGATAATAATAAATCAAGTTTCTTAATACCTTTAATTCTTGTAAATTTGGTCTGTCTCTAACAACATTAACAGATCGATAATTCCAGATTTTACACAATTGTATAACCAGTTGTCCTACTGCTGAATTACCTCCATTTTGTATAACAGTATCTCCGGGTTTTAAACATACAAAATCTTTAAGCATTCTATACGCAGTACATGGATTAACGTTCATCATACTAGCTTCCACAATTCCAACTTCTTTAGGAATCTGAAATTTAAACATGCTTTTTTTTATACCAATCTACTAAATAAAAATAATTTCAATGAAATTAATAAAACTACCTTTAACAAATCTTTCGATTCATAAATGGCATTCGTTCTCCATGTTCCCAAATTAGAACCATTGGGAACAACCCTATCCCCAATGCATAAATTAGTTACTTTAGAACCAATATCTATTATTTCTCCTACACCTTCATTTCCTGGAACAGCTGGTAATGAAGGTTTACTCGGATATTTACCTTGAATAGTATTAATGTCGGCTGGATTGACAGGTGCCAGCAACCACTTGACTGCAACCTTTTACAGTATATTTATATTAAAATTATAAAATGACAATCAAAATCGTGACAACACGAGTAGAAATTATACATATACATATGCTTTTTATATTTATTAATTTATTTAAATATACCTGATATCCATCCGGTTTATTTAATGTGGCATTAGTGACTTGTAATACATCTACCGGTTCACCATATTCTTTATACAGCAATGATTTTGCTGTATCAGTTAAAGCGATGCCACTCATATGTCGAATTTGTATTAATTTTGTTGACTGCGAAACTGATGATAGAAAATGTCGTACAAATAAAACCATTGTATCCTTTTTTCTTGACAACTTTAAATACAATGTTTCTTTATTTTCTTCAAATATCAACAACTACCTGCATAATTACAATAACAATATATTTACTTTTAATATTGAGGTTATAAAACAAAGTTACATATATATTTTGAAATATTAAATGATTATAAAATCGTTTAGATATTTATTATATAACACGTTACTATTGAAGAAGATGACTATTATCCTACTTCATTCACCATTTTCTAATGTTTTTATATCAATTATTTATTTTCTTGAATTCGAAATATGTAATTACTTACAACGTCACCACTGACGGATACCAATCGTTATAAACCTATAGATTTGGAGGGAAATATTCAAATAATGTAATTAATTTTTAATTTATTAATATAGATATAATTAAACAAATTTGATTGTAAAGATTTTGCATTCTAAATTCAACTTTTGGCTAATACAACTTTATTGCAGTTTTAAGAATTAATATAAAGTATTATCTTTATTTACAAAAAAAAGAAACCAAAATTTTTTATTTATGAAAAGAATTGTTTATTTGGTTAAATATAATAACATTGTATTATATATTTATATAATACGATCATTGTATAATATTACATAATATACATTTAATATTTATTATATAATATACATTTGTACACATAATCATAATTATGTTTTTTAAACATGATTCTTAATTATGTTTCAATCATACTATGTTTTCATGGACGATCAAATAATATTAACTTCTTTCATAGGTTCTAATGTTATAAATCTTTCAAATCCTAATCTTGATAAATCTAATGTGCAAAATCTAGAATCTAAAATAAGTTCTGATATTGCTCGTCCTACTGCAGGTGCTTGCTGTATTCCATGACCACTAAAACCGGTAGCTATAAACATATTTCTATATAAAGGATGACGACCAATTATGCCGTTCTGATCAAACGTATTGTATTCATAATATCCAGCCCAAGAAGATTTCACCTAAAAGAAATAGAAAACATTACATAAAATCGACTACATTGATATTTCATTATGATTTGATTTACAGTTAAAAAAGATTTTTAATTTAACCTTCAGACATTCAAAACTTTTGACTCTATTAGCAAGAACAGGCCAAACTCTAGATTCAAAAAAGTTGTGATCTACTTCCAAATTATTTGTATCAGGTTCTTCATCGGCTTGCGGTTGTTGACCACAAATATAAGAGTTGGCTAAACCGTCTCTCCTAAAAATGAAAATGATGGTTAAAGTTACGTTTTTGCAACAATATGTATCTCATATCATGAGATTACATTACCTAAAATAAGTATTAGTGGGATCTACTGTAAGTGGAGTATTTAAACCAGGTCCATCCGGACAGTGGAAACAGTAGACATACCTTTTCCTAAAGAACAAAAATACAAAGAACTATATAAATTTAATATTTTAAAAAATATTTCTTTAATATAGCGTACCTTCGTTCTACAGGTAAGGGAACACTTAAAATTCCTTCACCGAGCCCAATCTCTGCCTTTTCTGCTATTTCCTGACTAGATGCTCCAGCTGCAATAACTACAGCTGCGAATTTGATAGATTCAACAATACCATTTGGTAATTCAACCTAAAAATTGTCTTACATTATAAAAAAATGTATTGCACTGAGCTCATTTAAATAATGTTTAATCAGTTATAAACTCACTTTAACTTTTCTTATACTTTTACAGGATTTGGAGTCATCGCCAGATGAAAGCAAATATTCATCAAATTCAAAACCTACAGCTTTCGCAGTAATATATTCTACACCTAAAGACATTGCTTTTGACTTGAAAGCACAGAGAAGTGACCAAGGATCAAACCATCCTTCTTTTTCTAATCCAAAACAACCAACTGAAATACCATCTGTATTTAACCATGGAAACTTTTCTTTCAATTTATTTGGAGAAAGAATGATATTTCTTGCGCCCAAAGCATTTTGTATTTTCGAATTTTCTATTAATTGTTCACCACTCAAATCAGTGGCTAACATTAAATAGCCATAAGGTTGAAACTGTACATCGACAGGAGGCTCTCCTTGAATGCCCAAATGATTATTTATATTTCTAATAAATTCTGCTCCAAAAAGTGACATTTCAATATTTTCTTCGAGAGAAAATTGTTGACGTAGACCACCTACTGATAAAGCTGATGATGCATGGCAGTACTGTTTACATATTGCATTAAATTATTTTCAGATAACAGTGTATAGAAAGATTACTTTTATCTTAATAACTTACTGTTGGATCTTGTTCTATAACGACAACATGAAAATCTTTTGGAAAGCGTTTTTTTAACCAATAAGCTATAGAACTTCCTATTACTCCTCCACCAATTATTGTTACATCGCTTCTTTGCGGTACATTCATAAGACATTCATCAAGCAATTTTTTAGCTCCTTCATCATCGTTCCATGATTTAACTGTTACTCTCTTCTTATGTCCTACCGGCTTATTCGGTAATCCTAGATACGTATTAAACTCTTCATTATTATCCTATAACATTATTTTTAAAAACAATTAACAGTATTACGAGAAATGATTATAATATTATTTAAATTATGAATTACTATAAACATTAAAATAAAGTATATATGGAATAATGTATACTATATTTACAAACTGTTAACCTATGTAAAATTATGTAATTGGAAAATATTTCTTTTTTTTGTTTTTGTTCAATTTTCATAATTACCTTGTTCGAGTAAGATCGTATTAACAATTGTTTCAGTCGTTGATTATTAAAAATATTTATTATTGTATTCCTTTGTGCAAAATAGCGAAACATTGTTTTATTTTTATACAAGCTTAATATCAAAATTACTGTGTTATATTATAAATTAATAACAATTATTGTTTCCAGTTTAAAAATTAACGAGACAATTTGAATATATTATATTAATAGGAATTAAATAAAAGCACCATTTAATATTGAAGATCTGCAATAAACTGACATCATTGTTGTTCTCAGTTACCTCTAGTTAACTTCGTCAGATAATAAGTAAATGGAATTTTCTATTTATTTGTATTAAAAGCATATCTTTATCAGTGATATTATTATCAGTAAAGATTAATTTACATACATATAAGTAATTGTCAAGTGTTGCATTTTTATAAATGAATTTACAAAAAATGTGTATGTAACCTCAAAGATAACGCGGTTAAGAGCCGTATGCGTGTTTACCGGCGCATATACATCTATAGGCATCATGTATAACTGATTTAAAAATATAAAGAATAAATAGATAATGAACGAAAAAAAGAAATAAGATAAATGAGATAAAAAATATAAGTGTTTAATTAACAGATATCACCATTTATTTAATAATTTAGTCTTTAATTTGATTTCAAGAGAATACGATTTACATTTAAATTCATTTATATTTCAAATATATGTTTTATTAATATTTATTTTTAATATTTGTTTTTATTTTATTAATAGAAATTACATCAATTTTAATATAAATTTTTTTTTTAATTATTTAATGGAATTATTATAAGAATTATATAATAAAAAATAAATATACATTTAATCATATCCGTAATATTATGTGTCAAAAGGTTGACTATAATTATTTATTTACAAATATTTACTCTTAATCAATTTAAATTACATATAATTATTATTGTATAAGCACAGACGTATTTTTGCATTTAAAATATTTATAACAGTATTAAAAAAATATATATATATTTTTTAAGTTTGCTGCACTTAATATGTAGATATTATTTGTTTCAACAAATATTTTGTAGCCTATATTATGTTATTTTTTCATTTGTTATATAATGTAACTATTGTTTTTTTTTGTTCGTACTTTACGTAATACTAAGAATTTGATATTTGTATATTTTTATAATAATACTAATAGTTTCTTCTTAATTTTATATGAATATATATTTATATAACATTATTATTAATATTATAAAATATGGTGCTTTGTTTCATATTATCTATACACGTAATAATGATATATAAAATCTTCTTAATCTCAAATTTTGAAAGATAAGTTCTATTGATATTAAGAAATCACAAGTAGAACAATTGAAGAATTGTAATCAATTCGTAAAGTATAACGATTAACAAGATTGTATTAAAAACAAAACAAACAACACTTCATAAAATAAATAATTTTTGAACATATTTCCTCTATATCAAATCAAGATCAATGTTAAAATTATATCTATTATTCTGTAAAAAATCTTTTATTATATGCCTTGATCTACTACGAATTATAAATTTAACAAAAAAATATCATAAAATAAACTTCAAATTTCATAGTACGCTAGGACAATTATTTTCATGAATTATTTAATATAAAAAAAATTTGTATACTAATTCGAGTGATTCAGTATGAATATAAAATATTCTTACGATCTTCATATTAAAAACGTTACTCTCTTTGTAGATATACAATTAAAATAGCAGTAATTATTTCTAAGCACAATGCATATCTGTATTGTGTAAAAAATATTTTCGATATAAATACATTCCTGCTATGACCTATTTAAAAATACAAAGTTTTTATGATACATGTATGGTACAGTGCACCAAATTTCACGTATTTATAATACTATGATTTGTAAACATTACGTAAGTATATAATACATATTCACACATTATAGCACAAAGAGTTTAATTAATCCCATCGGATTGAATACTATTATAAATTTGTTCATGTAGTTTCTGTCGGGTTGATAAATAGTGCTGTTAGGGCAAAAAGTAGGAATACCAATCCTCCAATAATGGTCACTATATGCAAACACACATGAAAATATTTTTAATTAGACTCATGTTTAGGAACAAAATTTTAGTAATTCAACAAATAAAAATGATATGTTAGCAAATATTAAGTTTATAAAAAAAAAACTTCATTGTTCAAAGCTTGTAGTTAATATCTGACACCATAATAATTATTATTATTATGTTAGAAGGATTTAAAAATATTATAACATTCAATGAAATAATATTACAAAATTTTACCTGTTCGCACAGATATTTTTTGTGCAATTATACGTCCACCTAATACAGCTAAACCTGTACAAAACGAATGACCAAGAATTCCACCAAATACGACTCCATAAACATCCTAAAAAGATATGACTTATTATATTATTTATTTAATACAAAATAGTTTATAGAATTATCGCATAATTAAAAACTTCATCACTAGTTTATATTTATATTATAGAATACCTCTCTTGCTGCAAGTATGATTGTCGTTAGCTGTGAACGATCACCCCATTCAGCCAAAAAAGTGAGAGTAAATGCTTGTAAAAATATTCGAGAAAGTAACATCAGTGCTGAACGTTTAACAGTTTTTCTTATAATACCACTTTCTGGATCTTGGATTAACGTAGTCGATTTATCTTTTTCATACTATAAATAGGGATAATAATAGTTATTAAAAATAAGAATATAAATTTGTATTGGTAATAATCTTTAAGAAACAATATTTCTAACAAGTATATTAATACAAAAATGGATACATTTTAATACCTCATCTTCTCGTTTACGTAAATCTGATTGAACTTCCTCAAGTTCTTCTTGTGCTCCTGTCGGTGACATATAATATCCATCCCTCAACATTTTTAATCCGAATAAAGCAAAAAGTATGGTTGAAATATAGTATGTGTATACACGTGGTATTATGGTTGCTGCATATCCAAATATTACTGAAAATAATCAAACTATAAGCATGTTACTCCAAAAGGATATTCACTGACATTAAATTTATGAATAAGATTGTATAATTAAAGTTTATATAGTATGTATCTAAAGATAAATAAGAATATTTTTTATAAGAAATGATACCTGAAAGCAATGTCATAAGAGCAAGAGCACTAATAGCTCCAATAAAAACAGTCAACCTAGGATGTTTCATTGCCATAATAGCAGCAATGAAAAATGTTTTATCTCCTAATTCAGAAACAACGATGACTGATAAGGAAGCTACAAAAGCATGTAGAAGCCCAAGCGAGGCTTGAGGTTGTGTTGATGTTAAGTCATCCATTTTCTACAATTATTTTTATTATTATTAGCATTATTAGACTAATTAAAGTCATCTTTCATTGAGTGCTTATATCTACCATTGAAGTTGCTGTAATTTGTAATTTGTCATCATAACGTTGATTATTCTCCGCTTGCGTAAAATGAAAATTAAAATAAATAACTAAAAAAATATATAGCAAATACTTCATTGTTTTATAATTAACAGTAGTCATGATAATATTCTTAACTATTATCATCAGGTACTATGCGCACGTACTGCTACCACCACATCATTGAAGCGCGAATCGCAAGCATATACATTGTTTGTTAATATAGATGTCACTCTAGTCGCAACACTCAGGATCGCCAATAGATATTTTCATTTAATTAAGACAATACGAAACGAACAATAGAAATATCTAGATTAAAATAATTTCATTTAATAACGATCAAACAATACGATATTTCATCTCCCAAAGCTATTATTATTATTCAACTATGAATTTGACTTATTGATTTGACTTGAGTATTATAAGATTTTCTATTATACTTTTAGCTAGGAAATATAATTATTTCTTTTAAAAAAAAAAAAACTACAAAATGAAAATAGAAAAAAAATATATCACAAAAATAATGCAAGTTATTGAATAATAATATATTTGATTATTATACGAACGAAATAAAGTCAATTTTATATCGGAATTTATTGAAATCAAAGAAAGAGTTAAAGAGTTCGTTTTAACAGAATCATCAAAGTTACGACATGCGATTATTTTTTTTCATTTTTAATCATTATTTTCTTTCATTTTTATTTCAAGATCAAGCATATGGTTGATTTTTATTACTAGCCAAATAACTATATATATATATGTAATTCTCTGATTGGTCGTTTGAATCTCGATCAAGCACTCTCATACCAATCGAGTCGTAAGAAATTTGGGTTCATTTTACGGACACGAACTTACGATCAGACATCGTGATTAAGTTGCTAGACGCTTGCAGTAATGGTTTATGGGATCTGTTAACCTGTGATGTCGATACATTTGTTTTTAATTTTAAAGCACTTTGATTAAAATTGGAATGGCCAGTAAAGTTTGGAATTCTGAGATATGGAAAACTTGGGATAAGCATGGAAAAAATGACTTGTAAGTGGTTAAAACGATGTTGCGCCAAAAGCGCGCCTGATTAATATTGAATTGATACTCTCGGTCCTATCCGAGAATTGATGGTTGCAACTTATCTCTCCTGTTTCTCGCTCTTCTGAAGAGTTAATTGTCAATTAACAACTGTTTGCAGCCTCAAGCTAATCAAGCACTTATTTAAGGAAGGCAACGCAGCTGGTAAGTTGTCTTTACATTTACCCCTTTCGTGCATTTTAAATAGGATATATAACAAACCTTTCCTACATCTGGAAAACATTCTTTGACCAGCATTGCACTTTTAATCAATTTTTTCTTTTTTTTCTTCTATTCTTCTTTCTATGGCTATACATATTCCTTATTATTTATTTTAATTATATAATTATTGAATAAATCATTGATTATTATTCTACAATACATGTACTCAATGCGATGCTAATACTTACTATAGTCTCAATTTGCATTTACAGTCATTTTTAGTATTTTATTCTAATTTATTGTAATGTATGCAATAAGTTGGAACAAAAGAATTAATATCGTTCTTTCATTTGATGTTTACAGAATGGAGACGGGGATTATACGAATTGATTTCAAATGGAATCCGTGGAAACATAAAAAAGGATAATGTTATTGCAACATTAAGCGAAGTTACTGTAAGTTGTATTTTCATATTTCATCATTTCTGTCATCGCAAAACAACAAGCGATGATAACATTTTGCATGATATATTTCCAGAATATTGATTGGACGATACCATCAGCAATAGTTGATATATTTACCTTAATTGATGCAGAAGTTCACACTGAAGATAGGAATAATTTTTATTATATTGTAAAAGAATCTGAGAAGGTACTGTAATTATGACCAAATTAATTTTCATCCTTGTTATAACAATTGAAATTGCTAAAAAGATATTATACATCTTTCAGGTATTAACGGACAGAATAATAAAAGAACGTTTAGAAATTGAAACATTGCAGGATGTAGGAACATTAAAGAACCGAAGTTTTCAAACAAAATTTATTAAAGTGAAAACGAAATTATAGTACGTAAATTATGGCTAATATAATATACATTATATTAGAGAGAGAGAGAGAGAGAGAGAGAGAGAGAGAGAGAGAGAGAGAGAAAGAGAAAGAGAAAGAAAGAGAGAATAATTTTGTTTATTATTCTCAAATAATATATATATATATGTACCCGTATATGTGGATCTATAACTAAAGTACTATTTTTTTTTTATTTTTCATTTCACATTTCAGCTACAAACAACGAAAATTTAATTTATTCAGAGAAGAAAGTGAAGGTTATTCCAAACTTATTGTAGAATTGAATCAGGAACGTCCAGAAAGTGAAGTGGCGTCAAGTTTAGAAATAGTGAAGTCATTAATTGGTATGACTATTGTTCACGTAATGTTTTAACAGTAAAAATGTAATCCAATAGCAAAAATGAATATTTTTATTTAAAGAACAAATACAGCTGAAAATTTAAATATCTTTATTTCAGGATATTTCAACCTTGATCCTAATCGCGTACTTGACATTTTATTAGAGACTTTTGAAAATCGATCAGAAGCCGATGCATTTTTTATACCTTTAATTCGTTCGTATATGAGCGACCAGCAAGTACTTTGTGAAGTTTTAGGATTTAAATACAGCTCTACTATCAATGCAACTCCATTTTCCCTACAAAAGCTCACTGCACTGATGCTACAACATTCTGTAATACAATTGGATGATATGCTTCCTTGGCTCGTACCAGATGATGAAACTATTACTAAAGAATACGAGCAATCATTGAAGCAGGCTAAAGAATACGTTCGTAAGTTAAGTGTCATTTCAACTAAAGATAAAGAAGAAGTACCAGAAGAAAAAGAAAATCCACAGGTATTTTAAAATCATTATTAATAGAATATCCTAATAATATTATTTATTCGTTTACATAATTTCATTGTTATATATCTAATAGGCTAAATATGCAAGTAACCAAAAATTTGGTTTATGCGAAGCATTGTTAGAAATAGGAGCTTGGGAAGTAACGCAAGCTCTTTTTAGTCGATTACCGGAACATTGCTTTACAGATCAACGTCCTATTGCATTAGCATTATGCAGAATGATTCAATCTCTTATTGAACCTGTCTATCGAAAGTAAGCTACCTAGATAATTATTTAATAATATTTACTATTTGCAATAATTTATATTGAAAATGTAATTATTTGCTAATCGTCACGATGACATTTATCTATCTTTCAGGTATTGCATAATATCACCTAAATTACAAGGTCGAAAAGTCCCTCCATTAAAAAATGCTTTAGCACCAAAACCAATATGTAGTTTAGAAGAGATACATGATCAATTATTACCTATGTTAATAGTTCTTGGTCCTAATTTACATCATGATCCTATTTTGTTATATAAAGTTATGAGATTGTGTCATGCTGCTATCAAACAGTGTCCATTGGATGCAAACAAACTACCAGTTGACAAAAACAATATCCTTTATTATGATGTATTGACAATACTTGATGTAGCATTGTTACCATCATTATCTTTCATGGATTGTAATTGTTGTGTAGCTGAAGAATTATGGAATATTTTAAAATACTATCCATATCAGAATCGTTATTGTTTGTATGCAAGATGGAAAAATGACACTCCTCTTCAACACGCGGCTTTACTCAGAAAACGAGCAGATGCTCAGAAAAAAATTAAATCAATCATGAAAAGAGTTAGCAAAGAAACAATTAAACCTGTTGGAAGATCGATTGGCAAACTAACTCATTCTTCTCCTGGGGTATTGTTTGATTATGTTCTTATACAGATTCAATTATATGATAATCTCATAGGTAAATATATTTTTATTGATAGTACAATATGATATTATTTATTATAAAACAAACTTAAAAAGGAACACTTTTTATTATAAAATGGAACATTTACAGGACCAGTCGTAGATTCATTAAAATATTTAACAAACATTTCTTACGATGTACTTGGATATTGTCTTGTGGAAGCATTAGCAGGGGCCGATAGGGATAGATTCAAACATGATGGAACCAGTATATCTTTATGGTTACAATCTCTCGCATCATTTTGTGGTGCTATTTTTAAAAAATATAATATAGAACTTACAGGTTTATTGCAATATGTAGCGAATCAACTTAAAGCACAAAAGAGGTATTTTAAATGCTCTTCTTAAACGAAGATACATTTTAACATATATTTATAATTATATTTTTTTGTTACAAATAAATGTTACTTTCAGTTTAGATTTATTGATATTAAAAGAAATAGTACAAAAGATGGCAGGCATTGAAGCTGCCGAAGAAATGACTGCTGATCAATTAGATGCCATGGCCGGAGGAGATTTATTGAAAAATGAAGTAATATATTTGGTTAAAAAAAATAATTAATTAATTAACTAATTAACTAATTCTCCATATTATATATTATTATATTTAATGTTATATTTTAGGCCGGATATTTTAGTCAGGTTCGTAATACGAAGAAATCATCACAACGTTTGAAAGAAGCACTTGCCGAACATGATTTAGCTGTAGCTCTTTGTTTATTAATGGCACAACAAAAACATTGTGTTGTATACAGAGAAACAGATAAATCTCATTTGAAACTCGTTGGTATGTAATAATACTTCAGCCAATTAAGACATTTCTTATTTAAGGATAATAATTAATAATATCGTCTTTAAATATTATTATATATAGGAAAATTATATGATCAATGTCAGGATACATTGGTACAATTTGGTACATTTTTGGGTTCTACAATGACAGTAGATGAATATGTGGAAAGATTACCATCAATACATTCTATGCTACAGGACAATCATATACACGCAGATGTTGCATTTTTTCTTGCACGACCAATGTTTGCACATGCGATTAATGTAAGAATATTTTATTCAATATTATATTTAACGTATTGATTATTGAAGTTATAAATGTTTTACATTAAATGTATTAATATTATTAAATATAATAGATTACGCTTATATGTCACAGTAATTGTTAATAATATAAAATATATATTTTATATGTGTACATCTTCAGATCAAATATGATGCTCTTCGTAAAGCTGATCCAAATTACAAGAAAATGTCTAGTGCTATAAAACAGGCTAAGTACGCAGAAGCTGCACAAGCTGTAATGGCACCAGTTGCTCAATCGGTTAGACCATTACATCCATTAAAAGTATGGGAAGATATTTCACCACAATTTCTAGTTACATTTTGGTCATTGTCTATGTATGATCTGTACGTTCCTGTTGAAAGTTATCAAAGAGAAATAAATAAACTAAAGCAACTTGCTATTCAAGCTGCAGATTCCAAAGATATGGTTTGTACATATAATATTCATATTCTTACAATATTTTCTTTATAAAAACTAATAATTAATATTATCTTTTGACTATAAATAGAATGCTAGCAAGGGAAAGAAAGAACAAGAAAGATATACTACTTTAATAGAAAAACTACAAGATGAAAGAAGGAAGCAAGAAGAACACGTTGAAAAAGTATTTGCATATCTTAGGTAATATCAAATAAAATTCAAAATAATTGCTAGAAATATATTTAATCATATTATAAATTATACATGAACATATTATTAATTTATCTTATTAATACATACGTTATATATTTTATTAGACAAGAGAAAGATTCCTGGTTTTTATCTCGAAGCGCAAAATCTGCAAAAAATGAAACAATAACGCAATTTTTGCAATTGTGTTTATTCCCTAGATGTACATTTACAACAGTAGATGCTATGTACTGTGCAAAATTTGTTCATACTATTCATTCATTAAAAACAGCTAATTTTTCAACACTCCTTTGCTATGATAGAGTAAGTAAACATTTGAGAATATTAAATGTACATATATATATATATAGTTTCGTTAATATTATTTTGATTGAATGTTACTTTATCTTTTTACAGCTTTTCTGTGATATCACATATTCAGTCACTTCGTGTACAGAAAACGAAGCAAATCGTTATGGCAGATTTTTATGTGCCATGTTGGAGACAGTGATGAGATGGCATTCAGAAAGAGCAATATTTGACAAGGTATAATATTAATCTACGTTTAACCCTTTACACGATTCGTAAATGAAATCATAGTGCAATGGATTTACATTGTTTGACTTATAACATTATTCACATATTTTTTCGTTATAGGAATGTAGTAACTATCCAGGATTTGTTACTAAATTTCGTGTAAGCAATCAATTTTCAGAAGCAAATGACATGGTCGGTTTTGAAAATTATAGACACGTATGTCACAAATGGCATTATAAAATTACAAAGGTATTTCATTATAGATGTTAATTAATTATTAGTTAAAACTACATTTTTGAATTATCATTTATTAATGAAAATATTTTAACAATTTTATTAGGCCATCGTAGTTTGTTTAGATTCTAAGGATTACGTGCAAATAAGAAATTCTTTAATAATATTAATTAAAATATTACCACATTTTCCCGTATTATCAAAACTTTCACAAATATTAGAACGTAAGGTTGATAAAGTTAAAGAAGAGGAACGTGGCCAACGTCAAGATTTACATATCCTAGCAATATCTTATAGTGGCCAATTAAGAGCTAGAAATTCCTGTATGATACGTGAATCAGATTTTCATCATGTTGGCGATAAGGTCAGCTATTAATTATGATTGTCAATAATTTTATTTTTTTTTTTTTTTTTGTATTAATTTATTCTTTATCTTGAATAAAATTGTCTTTAAATAGGCGGGTAAAGCACAGGATTCATCAAGTAATGAAACAGTAGAAAAAGTTAGTAATGGAATTAGTAAAGAGATAAGTAATGGCGATAGCAGAACAGAAAAAGAAAACAAAGAACAAAGAGAAAAACGCAGTGCAGTAAATCAAGCTCATCAGTAAGTTATTTATTTTTTTATTTAATCATTAAGTCATGAACTACATTTATATATTAAAGTATATCAGAGTTACATGGTAACTTTCTTTAAAAGCTAAATTCACAGTTTTATTTATCATCAAAATCTACGTTAGCAAACCCAAATAATTCTACATTTTTATTACTCTTTTCTTTATATCATTGTAATTTATTTTTAGCAGCGAAAGTTCAGAAAAACTTCGGAAAAAAGAGGAATGTAAAGATGTTGCAGATGGTAAAGAAAAACACATCAAAAAGGAAGAATCTAAAGAAGAAGATAACATTGATAAAAAAGATCGCAAATATTACAAAGTAAATAATTTATTGTAATGTATATTATGTATATGTAATTGTGTAGAGATATAATGTAATCATTTTTATGAATTTTTATAAACTCATAACGACTTTTTTTGTTACTAATATAACTTTGATTATAGGAAGAACATTATTATAGTGGTGGTGTGGATAATTTAGATAGAGATCTTTCTAGTGTGTCAAATAGTAGTGCCAGTTCAGGACCAACACCGGATGGAACCGAGAGAGGTTTGTATAATCAAAATTAATGTTAATAATTCATATTGATTCTATCCAGTTTCAAAATATTCAACTTTTTATTAGTGAACCATTTAATTTAATACAAGACACTTGAATTATTAGTTTCAGAAGCCAAAAGAAGAAAACTTGAAAGTACCCCAAAGGTAAGAAATTAATAAAAAGAAACTAATAATTATCTCAATTATTATTAATTAATAAATATATGTATTTTTTTAGCAGGAAGGTAGGAGAACAGAAGCTACTCTTGAAAAAAAGGAACGTTCAAGCAAAACTAAAGTACGCGACGAACAAAAAGAACTTCGCAGAGAAAAAAAGTTAGGACGGAAAAGAGTAAGAAATTAAAATACCATTTTTTATATTTTTGATTCGTATAATACAATTTCAATCGTTAATTTTAATTAATGTTTGATTTAGGATCGAGCTGAGGAATCTTTGGTGCAGACTGAACAAAAACGAAGAAAAGATGATGAAAGAGGTTTGTATATAATTTATATTATTAATATATTAATGATAATATATATATATATATATACATATATTTTTTATTAATATGTTATAGCCAAAGGAGTACATCAAAATGGAGACGTAACGGAACATAGAGAAAAACATCATTACAGCAAAGTAAGTACAAAAATGTTTTATTATTATTAATATATATCTGTGATACAAGATATAGACAAATTATTATTAACTTTGTAGTCAAATGGTTAATGGTTTACAAGAATAACATATTAAATTACATAAATATATTTTAAAGATGTATATACTTAATTTGTATACTTAATTTCATGTATACTTAAAATTCATTTTTGACAGAAAGCATAAAAGTTATTTAAAACATTAAATTTAATATCCATTAAAGATAATTTTATAATTTAAATATTGAATTGACTAAAAAATTTAATAATAGAAATTTGAAAAATTTCTATTAATATCAATGAGTAAAGATAAATTCAATGGGTGTTTGTAAGAAGGGCTTATATTACGTACTGCAAATTTTTAATATAGACAACAACAGAGTTAAATATGAGCTCTTCTTTCAAACACCCATTCAATTATTATTTATGTAATTTAATTCTAGTCAAAGTTATATATATATATATATATATATGTAGAATTAATATTACTTCTAAGTTTGGATGGCCTCTGTTTTAATTCTTTTTACAATTGTATTAAAAAACTTGATAGGAAAAGTTGCACTATTGCAGAAAGAGAGAATCTAATAGTTGAAAGAATTTTTTCTCAAGGTCATTTATTTACTTTCACTTTTCATTTACATACTTCACTCTTTTATTTTTTTTTAATTTCATTAAACTATTAATGTGAAAGTCATTCAAAATTATATGCTGTAGTAATAAAATGAACTTTCTTACAATATAGAAGATTTTTCAAATTGTGGTCATTTACGCCAATGCTACTGTAATGATAGGGCGTATCAATGGAAAATAAGATATGTACGTATGTTCAGTCATATTATACGTTTACGAAAATTACACCTTTGCATGCTACTTTAACGATAGGGCATATCAATGAATAATAAGACATGTAAGATATTTCAGCGATACGATTATAGCTGTGCATTGGAAGCAAATGGTCACAATTTCAAATATTTTCCGTAATATAAGAAAGTTTATTTTACTACCACATTTGATCTAAGTGACCTTCACTAATAGTTAAATGAAATTGTCTTAACACCAGTTATAGCAAAACCATAAAATATATATAATTTAATATATTTATTATTTAATAAATATATATTTAATTTTATAATTTTATATATTAATTAAAAATATATACATATATAAATTAATAATTTAATAATAAATTAATATTTTTACAAGATTTAAAAAGACCAACTTGATTTTTTTAAATAAAACTATATATAT